TAACATACCAAATTCAAATTCAAAAAAAAATCGGAAAATCGGAAATATGAAGAACCATGTTGGTACTTGACTAGATCACAGGAAAAAAGGTATATAATTGTTTTGATAATGCGCACTATCAGTTTATTTTATTTTATTTAAATAAATATCAAAATTTGTAGGTTTTATTCAAGTCTAAAATCATCGAAAATGAATTGGTCATCCTTTGAGAAGTCGTAATTAATAAGTTCGTCTTATTTCTCGATGTCGCACAGGGCGACAATTTACTAACAATATACCTATAGTTGGTAATAGTATTAATTTGGTAATTTGCCATAATTTTTTTGAGACGTAATGCCGTAATACATTACAGCATTACAGCATATAATATTTACGGCAATTAGATACATACTATGCCGTAATTAATTCTACCACATGGTAAAATGCCTAATTCAGTAATTTTACCGCCAACTATAAATATACCTAAAGCAAATATAATGCTAAATTGTTACACTTTGTTATTGCAAGTAAATGACGTCAGGAAAATAGCTGCCAAGAAAAAATAGGCATATACCCTTTAGTTATTGGTATTAATGTGACATTCTACGACAACCGCCAATGTTATTATTACGTTATAACGGTATCTCAGATAACCGATTCATTTTGATGGTTTTGGGTTTAAACGAATATTACTAATTTTTCAAACTTAAAGCCATCAAACCATATCAATAATGCGTGAAATGCAGGCCTACCGAATAATTGATTGTGGAGCAATTATAGCGGTCTGCAAAGTTGTGAAATTTGCTAAAGAAATCGCTAAGAAATCGCCCTATTTTTAGGTTATTTCTAATTTCTTAAAAGTACCTGATATCTGGATGTAAAATTTTCATATCGGAGTAATTCTAAGAAATCAGAAATCACATAACAATCGAGCGATTTTTTGATGATTTTTTGCGAGGGCGGAATTCACAATTTACGTTATAGACATGACATTACTTTTAAGGTCCCTATTTTGATACAATACAGTACTAGCTTAACGTAAATTGTTATTCATTGAAATCTTCCAGTGGGAATTACTGGAATTGGAAGGTCACTGAACTTAACTGGATGGAATTGGAAGCATAATAGCTTCCAGTGATCAGATGTCACTGGACTGTTCCAGTGAAGATTTTTTATCACTTGAATGGAAGTTCCAGTAATGTCCAGTGACTCTGATTGGCCAATTCGAGTGTAGAAATTGGACCCGGTGTAAAATTTAAACATCATTGATCATGCACACTATTATTATTATTCACTTTTTATTCAATAATCATAGCAATTCTCATCAAAATACAGGTAAATACAGTCAGACCTCTATATAGTCACACCATATAAAATCACACCTCCATATAAGCACCTAATTTTGTTAAACAAATTACTGTAAATGTATAGGAAACACCTCTATATAAGCACAATCCCTTTATAAGTACATTTCTAAAAAACTTACTATCATCCCAACTATGTGACTATAGAGAGGGTTGACTGTAACTTTCAGATCTAAATAAGAACCAAATAACACAACATTAAACAATTATGAATTAATTTACCAAAAGGCAGGTAATATTAATGAGGAATTCTTGCTGAATTAGAAATACATGTAGCAACATAAGATAATCTTCAATTAATTTACTGAACTAGAGGCACAGTTTATATGTTAGTTTAAGGTGATCTCAAGCATCTTCCTCAATGTGATCAACTAGTAAACAAGTTCGTGCACAAGCACCATAATTAGTTGAGATCATTATTACGGCAATTTTGCTGAAGGTTCACAGTGCGAAATGTGGATCTTAAATTTTAGCCAATAAACACTATGAAAAAAAAGATGGTCTAGTAGACCATCTTTTTTTTTTATTGCGATGACCAGCTTACTTGATCGTTCAAATTATGTTTCGCTAATTAAAAATTAAGCTCCGATCTATTAATTTAGGTGCTTGAGAGCACCCTTAATCAATCGACTGATCAATGATCACATTTAGATCTACATTAATTAGCCAATCAGGCAAATTCATTCCAGTGAGAACATTTTTCCAGTGGAATTCTGGATATCCAATCTTCCAGTGACAACACTGATTGCGGATGCCGCCAAACTGCAATAATTGCAATGTTTTTATTACGCTTTGTGACCCCATGATTAATAATCTGTTATTAAATGATCGTGATTGCGATGCTAAAGCTGGCCAATTTATCATAAATCTGATTTAATTAATAATAAATGGTTCAGCTTTAGCAATCGCAATCACGTAATCAAAGGGATTACAGAACGTTGCAAAGCGCAATAAATCAATTATCGCGATTTGCAATATAAATATATTATTTTCATAAAATTTATACAATCGCGTGACCGAACAACAATCAAGTGATTGTATTGGTGTGCGACGACCTACCAGTCACATCCATATGTAAACCGCGATAATTAATAAATTATAGCACTTTTCAAAAAAGATGTGACCTCTAGTTGTTGTCCAAACCGTTTCGAACGGTCAAAACCATGTGATAATTAGCATAACATATGGGTTTCCTGGTTTTAACCTAGTTTTAACCATGTCATCACATGGTTTTGACCGTCCAAAATAGTTTGGACGGCAACCAAAATGTGACCTCATGATTTTTGTGACGATTGGAGAAAATTCCCAAGATTCTAAATTGTCTATTAATCCATACTTTCGATCGGTTATACTTATATTTGTTGTAGGTGGATTCAGAATCAACTTAATTGAGATTATAACGGCATTTACCGGTTTATTTTATCTTGTAAATAATCAAGCTATTGTCAAATGAAACATATCACTTATAATGTAAATGTAATACTTGATAATGCCTATAAGGTGAGTAAAATTATACCACTGGGATCAACAGAATATGAAAAGCTTAAAATTAATCATTAGTGTACGAAAAGGCGCAAGAATATAGTCTACTTCTACTATAACCGGAGAAAATGTGATTGTATGATGAATGATAAAGTCATTCTTGTAGATGTAGACGTTCTAAGTTGGTATGTGATGCGATTGTCATTCCCATGACATTAAAGTAAAAAGTGAATATACTTAATGTTATGATAAAAATTATATTGTCGAAATTTATATTGCTTGCATACAATTTTTAAAATTCTATTTCCATTTAAGTTTTTTTGTGATTTAAATCTACTTTTGAAATTTCAACACATGCATAATTATTGAATAGTAATTCTCAACTCCCGCAACTGAAAGAATTTAATCCAATATCAACCTTTTGGAGTCCTCATACAGTCTACAATCACGCCCTCGGTTCAAAGAAATTCTGTGCTTATAAGAAATTGTCCCTGTATAGAGATCAGATTTCTTATTATTTTTTATATAAGTTTGTTCTAAAAATTAGTGTGCTTATAAAAAGGGTGTGACTCTATGGTGAGTGACTGTATAGAGGACAGACTGTATTTGCATTAGTAGGCTCATGTAGTACTGCAATAATAAGTTCGTAATCAGGTGTGAAATAAAAGTTTTACGTCTAGTAAGTGATTTTATTTCAAAAACTTATTAATTTTTTAAAACTTGTCTTAGAAGAATATTCTTGAGCTGACATTTTAACTTGAAAACTTTTTCCAAATATAGCACTATTCTTTTAAATATGTATGATTTATGATTGATATTTTTAAGGTCCGAAATTGACTTAAGTTGTTTCTGGACTTGCAATTCACTTAAGTGGATTCCAAATTCAAATTCACCTACAACATATTTATTTGAAATCGGCAAGATTCTTAAAAATTTACGGAATCTCCGACTCTCATACGGCATTGTGATCTGCAGATGTCACTTCTCTTTGAAAAGCACAATAATTGTAAAATGATAAAAATATGTGACATTCACATAAGTATATTTATTGAAGATCGAAACAAAGATAAAAGCTTCGGGTCACTGGTTGATTGTCAAAATACGTACAACTCTAACATTATTTTGCCTACGATCACTGTATATTGTAATTATTTGCTAGTATCCTGCTCACTTCATAGACGATCACTTCACAAACGTCCTATTTTGCAGACAGTTTCACCGATATGTTTATTTTGCAGAAGATCAATTCATCAACTCACAGAAGTTTATCTCATCGACAGCTCATTTCACCGACAAAGTAATCATAGTCATTATTGCTAGGGTTAGGACTAGAATTATATTTAAGGTTAGTGCAATTTATAAAACCAACTTGTGCGTGTAATGAGCTGTCGGTGAAATGAACTATCTATGGAATGAACTTGTCTGTAAAATAAATTGTCGGTGAATTAATCGTCTGTGAAATAAGGCATCTATGAAGTGACTGTTGGTGAAGAAATACGAATCCAATTGTTAGTAGTGTGTGTGTGAAATTCTACTTTAATCGTTGATACTTTTAGTATAAGTTGCACCAAAACCCGTCTGTAATAATTTAAGAATCAATTCAACATAAGAAAGTTAAACAAACCTCAATCTGGGTGAGGGAAAATAAGACATCAGGCTTTTAAATTTATCATTTCTGTTACTATTTACCAGATTTAACCTGACAGCAACGGAATCAAAATTAATTTAATTACCACTATATAGTATACGTGCTAAATCTGGTAAATAATAGATAATAAACTTGAAAGTTCAAAGTCTCATTTCCCTTGCAGCACTCAAGAAAATTTTTATTATCGAGTTAGTATATGTATTATCATTATATATTATACAATAACTAATATTGATATTACCTAAAAAAAAAATTCATTATATATGTCGATCTTTGACGTAAAAATAAGGAATAAAACTATTTATCATTATGCCCTATTCAGCAGTTCATTATGTTTACAATGTAAAAATAATGTACTGCCGAACAGAGCTTAGTCGTACCAATCACATAAAGAGATAATGACGATAACTAAATAAAAAAACATATATGTAATCTTAATTTTGTTCTTTCACTCTTTCCAGTTACCTATTAATAATTAAAAAACAAAAAAAAAAGAAAAAATGTTTGAAAAGGAATATGATATTGCAATGACATCACCAAATAATCCATATGTAAGCACATATAGCTGGAGAATTCCTAATTTTCAGAAAGCGATAAAAGAATATTCACACAGAAGATATTTTTATAGCAAAAAGTTTTGGGTTCCTTATACCAGTTTATGGCGACTAAAGGTTTACCCTAATGGTAATCAACAAACTAATTTTGTTGATATATTTCTTGAAGCTGTGCAAACACCTTATGAATATCATAATAAGATATTAACTCGAGGGCGGAATTTTAGATTACAAGTAGAAATAATTGATCATGTCTCGCAAGATACAAACAATTCTAATGGAACTGGTAACATAGTACACTTGGTTGATTTACCTTCGAATTCAAGATATATGGGATATCAATTTGGATTCGATAATTATAAAGATTATGGATATAATCGATTTTTATCGTTTACCAAATTATTTCCAGATGATAATAAACTAAAAGAATTTGATTTAGTTTTTCATCTATTATTATTCAATGATTATAAGCATATGGATATCGGTAAAGGATATGAATGTAAAATGGAAAAATTTTTTGAGAATGAAACATTGGCTGATATAGAAATCCTTTTGGATTGTGGTACTAGAATTAAAGCTCATAAAGTTATTTTAATCGCTGGTTCAACTTATTTCGAGAAAATGTTGCAAGGTGGATGGAGAGAGTCTACATCCGAATGCGTTAGAATACATAATATAGGATATAAAGCTTTTAGGGTCATTTTATTTTATATTTACGGAAATAAATTGATGGATGTGAATTATGACCTTGAATTGATGAAAGAAATTTACATGCAAACTGATATGATGGGATTAATAGAATTGCTGAAATTGGTGGTTAATCATATGTGTGGAATGGTGAACGAATTGAATTTCGAGGATATATTAAAGTTTTGTCGGAATAAAGACCATTGTATACCACTAAAGGAATCGGCTTTAAATTTTGTGGGCGCATATGTAAAAGCAGTTAAATTAGGTAAAAACATGGAGCATATTGAAAAATCAGAAAATCATGAAGTCGTTGCTTATAGCAAGCTATGGGAGAATGAAACTGAATAAAGAAAATGTAAAACTATTTTGATTTGTTTCAGTAGAAGTTGCAACTACAAATACATTTCTATCCTAACTGCTTTAATACAATTTAATAATCTCATTGACCATAACGACAAGCGTAGATTCCTATTAATTTATACGTACTGAATGCAATAATACTATTTTGAAAAATAATTCTAATTGCATCAAATATTTATGACGCATCTGGGAAGATTGATTCAGAATTTATATTCGAATATTCTTTTTAAACGAATACATTTAGGTATAAAGAAATGAAATCTCTAATCTCAAGGATTTTGAAATATAATTATACTAAGAATTTTCTTTCCAATTCTCTCTTAAAATGGATCTTAATTTTATAATATTTTATAGAATTATTTGGCTAAAATTTTTTTGTTCCATATTGCTAATTTTTTAAAAAAACAACTTGGGATCTCAAATTGTCTAAATATATATAATATTTTAATACAGTAAATAAACACATACGGTATGATATTTTAGCAATCGTTAATAAAAAGTTCATTTTTAAAAAAGATACTTTATTTAATAAAAGCAGAATATTTATTTTATACAAAGCAAGGGTATCTGTTTTGTACATATATAAATAACATCGAGTATTATATCATAGATTTACATTTTAATTCAAATTCTTACAATTATAGAATCAACACTTTCTACTTAACATACGGCTTCAACTTATTAAAGGCTTCAGCAGCAAGTTCTAAAGTTTCATTAGACTTACAAAATGCAAACCTTACAAAATCTTCCACAAGATGTTTATGTTCTTGAGAATAAAATTCACTTGGCGGAGTTGCTATAATACCAATTTCTTTAGCCAGCCAATAACAAACTCTGAAATCTCTTGGAGCGGTAATAAATTCTTCAGGAAACTCGTAATCTTGAGGTATTTGAATCTTTGAAGTGTTGGCTAGTACGAAATAACTTCCTTGGGGAATTGTATATGGTATTCCAATGGACGATAATGTGGACATTAACTTTTCACGTTTTAATGTATAAGCAGAAATTTGGCGATCGAAATACTCTTTCTGATCAATTTCTTCAAATAGGATAGCTATTGCTTCCTATTTATCGTAATGGTGTTATCATCAATGGTAAATATACGAATAAAATATAAATAAATGTATATAAGATCAAACCTGAAGAGGAGAATTCACGCAAAACACAATTCTAGTATGTGCAGATAATGCAGCTTTTATCAAATATTTGGATCCGATTAACCATCCAACACACCAACCGGTTGTTCCAAAAGTCTTACCACAATCACCAACAGTGATTGTACGTTCCCACATTCCAGGAAGAGTAGCAATGCGTTCGAAAACATCTGGTGCATAATAATAACGTTCATACTATGCAAACAAAGTTACATACACTTAGCATGAGGATTAAAAAAAAAAATTTAATGATAGTATGTTATATAATATACCGTACAAGCTTACCACTTCATCACTAATGATAAGTAAATTAAATTCTTGTGCTACTGCACCAATCTCCATCATTTCTTCCCTAGAAAAAACTTTTCCAGTTGGATTATGTGGATTGTTAAAAACAATAAGTTTTGTTTTAGAAGTAATTTTAGAACGAAGTTCATTAATATCTATTTTCCATTCACGCGATGACATGTTCTGAGTCGGATCACTGGTCGGGCGTAAGGGAACATATATGGGTACACCACCGTTCATTGTGACGTTGGCCTGAATATTAACAATAATGAATAATTGTTATTGAAAAATTGATATTTAGAAGTGGGAAAAGGAATTTCTGAATACACACAACATATTGATCATAGAAAGGCTCGATCAAAATAGCTTGATCCCCATGGTCTATGAACGCAGAGAAAAGATCAGTAAGACCTAGAAATAAAAAGCTATATTAGCATAGTTTGCATTTTGAAAAGATCAAATTTATATAAATTAATAGTCAACCTTCATTAGCACCAGCAGTTACAAGAATTTCTGTTTCAGGGTCCAAAGTTCTATTAAACAAAGGACCAAAAGCATTCGCCAATGCTTGACGAGTGTGTAATCGACCTTTAGGATGACTATTTATGACAAATTAAATGAATTACTCAACAACGTATCATTCAAAGTATTAATTTCCAAAAAAAAAAATTAGAAACTTACGCATATTGATTACATTCAGGCACAGCGATTGCTCTTGCTACAACTTCTTTTATATGATCTGATGGTGGATCACTTTTTTAAAATATGAAAGTTTTTATTTATCGGATGCCTTCATCAGATAATTTCATAACGGAGGCTTAACATAGATCTTAAATATATATTACTCAGGAAAACCCTGTCCCAAATTGACGGCATCAGGATTGGTTACGGTGAAAAGAGACCTTGCTATGATTTATGAAAACAGATTTAGTAAGAATTCTACTTTCTAATTTAAATTGCAGTAGTCATTAAGGGAATTCCAACATACCATCTTTTTGAAGATTCGAAACCTTGTCAGAGACTTTGATGGCATCTGAAATGTTATCACCACTTGCTTTTGACATTGTTATAAATTTACGTAAATATCAGTAGTTTATTGTTATTGTTATTTTATCGTTATGAATAGTGATAGATACAAAGCATAGCGATACATGTCAAATATATAAACATGTCAACGCACAAAAAAGTAATTTTGTGTTTATCAAAAATTATGCAGCAATCATATGTCACATTATCACTACATCTTTTTGAACAATCTATAAGTTTCTAAAATGGAATGCAATTTTCCCATATTTTATTCTTAGTAAAAACCTAACAATCTGTACAATCCTATACAATCCTATACAATCCTATACACAATCCTATGCAATTTCATACAATCCTTTAACAAGACGAGAGAACATGGCTCGTCTCAATTGGAAGCTTTTACGGTAGTTTTAGTTCAGTTAATCACATGGATTTGTATAAAAAAAAATGCGTCAAGTATCTTGACTAGTATTTTGACTCTTATTCCTAAAGTCTTGTACGTGATCAATACTGAAATTAGCAGCAACTACTGGGTTTTTCTTTTTCACTTCGAATTTTTATGATGTCATCATTTCTATTGGCTAAATAACCACGTTTTTCCTTCTTATCGTTCTTTTGATCGATTGTCAAAATCTCTGAAACCAAACACCGCGAAGCTTCTTCAATGTTTTGGTTATTCACTGCCGAAGTCTTAAACCTGAATCGAATGGTTAACATAAAGAATTTGAATTTAACAAAAGAAAAATAAAGTTACAAAAATTGTTACAAAAGTTGTTATAAAAAATTAATTACCATTTTATGAAACCGTTCTCTTCACAATATTGTGATATTTCGGCATCAGTTTTTGTATTAGGACCTTCATGGTTAAGGTCAGACTATAATAAGGGAATGTTTAGTCAACAAACTTAAAAACAAGATATATCCACACACAATTCACATATTATTAACCTTATTAGCCAGCAATACAACTGGAATAGGTCCACCACCCCAAGCTTCGGGCAAGGTCACTTTCTGATCTAGATCGGATTTCCATTTGGAGACTCCTTCAAAGGTGTAAGACCGTGTTACGTCGTACACTATGAGGGCCCCAACTGCTTCTTTATAATAAAACTGATCACAAAAACATAAATAATGTATAAAAATAATTTCAGATTAAATTTAATTTTCTGTAAACTTACTCTTGTCATGTTTCCAAATTTTTCATGCCCAGCGATGTCCCACAATTGCAATCTAACCAACTTGTCTGGCGACCATTGCAAGACCTTTTGAGCAAAGTCGACACCAATCTGATGATAAAAAACGATTAAAAAGGCATATCAGTTGATTATTCATCGAGACAATCTGGAATATAGTTTATTTATCCTCATAAAACTTGCGATTTTATAACTTAGAAATGTTTGGCAAACCATTAGGTAAAAAGAAATCAGAACTTAAATACGCCTGACCGAAGAGCATTATTACGAATCGAAAAGACGGGTTTATGGTAAAGTCCTTTTTTTTTAAAACGGTTTATCCATATTTGTTTCGATATAAAATTCGAACCATAATTTAATCTTAATAATACTTACAGTACTTTTATAATTCATAGAAGAAAGATTATGAACATAACGTTTAATTATACTGGTTTTTCCAGTGCCTAGATCACCTAAAACCAAAATTTTATATAAGTGCTCTTGCTTTTCTTGCTTTTAATAAAAACAAGATTTTACGGACAGAATATCGGGAAAAAATGCGATCAAAAATATTAGCAAAAGTTTCTTATGTATCAGAAAGAATAATAAAAAAAAAAAAACCCACCATAATTGATTTGTAATGTTTGTGTGATGAGTTTTGTGATGAAAAAGGTAAAATATTCGGTAACTAAGAAATTAGAAGACGAAGAAATCGTAAAGAGAGGAAATCTCCCTATATATAGTTTTACGAGGAGTATTCTTTCAGGGGCATTGGTATCAACTGCTTATTTTATGTTGTACTTTTAATGCAAATAAATTCGTTGATAGGGTAAATAACTGGCACAGAACGTGTAACATTAGTCTATCTTGGTATTACAATGCGATGAACAACGGCAGTTGCACAAGGGAAAATACGTATCGCGGTAGATTTAAAGATAATGAATAGCATAAAAAGGTTGTAATTCAAAAGTATCGGAATGTGTTTATTGTTTTTATCGAGATTACTTTATCCAAGATTCATTCAAAAAGTAAACATTGTCGTTGATCAAAAGTATTGTACACGGGCTGGTAACTCTTATCATTATTCATTATTGCGTATATAGTTAGGTCTAGATTTAGAGTTCTAAATAAAGATTCAATCATGCTAATCAGCCGCAGTGTCTACGTAATCAAACCTTTGGTACTATCTTTTATCTGGCGACTTATTTTTAAGTATGAGATTCGTTACTAAATTGTTAAAGTTCGTATGAATTTCATTACCAAATTGTTTAAGCTCGTATGTATGAGTTTGATTAGTAAATTCTCTGATAGGATCCAAATCCTAAAATCCTAAAGTTCATGCGTATTAATGCCGATAGAATAATATTTATCGTTATACATTATTACAATGATTTAATTAACTACATGTACGTACATACCGGACGTATGTACGTAACAGATCAATAAACTTAATAATCTATGTAACGCTAATTATAAAGGTTTAAAATCATATGCAAATAATAATGTCTTATAATTAAGTTTTGTGACGAATCCTCAGTGTCGATTTGATGATCCTCAGTTTAATCATGAGATAAACCTAGCGCTGTCGTGAAGTTGACATCTGCTTGAAGTTACCAATTTAGGCACATTAACCCCTGAAATTAGCTCTTCCTTGCCCGCGTTAGTTAGCAGTTTCAACTTCAGGCACCTGAAGTTACAACTTCAAGCACGACAGCACTAGTGTGAACCGGAAAAAACGTGGCCCGATCTGTACCTCGGGGTCAATTTTACCGACCCAATTTTATTCCTTATTTGGAAGTCTATTTGGTGAAAATTGGGGTTAGAACTGGTTTAAATTAGGGAAAGTATTACTGCAAAATTGCTCGCCCGACTTTTTCACTAGTGTTTCAAAATAGATCTATACTTCTGTTTTTATTTGTTTTAGATTTCAAAAATAGGGAAAGTAAAAAATGAGTCAAGCCGCAGTTGAAACCTTTTAAGTTTGTTAAAATTTAAATACAAGCAGTGCTGTATGTTTTTGATATTCAAACCTTTTCTTTTATATTTTGACCAATGTTTTTATCTAAATGTTTGAATATGTTCAAACTCTTACATACGTAGTGTTCCGACCCGGGTTGAATTATGATCATCGTGAGTCAACCTATAAGTCAGAGATTTGTCAATTTGCTCCAGTAGCGATAGAGTGAAGGAATGATCGACGAGTATATTCATCTATATCATCTGTCTAGCACCATTGACCTAAAAAATTTTGCTATCCTGTTAAATCAAAATTCAAAGCAAAATTTTTAGGCAAGGTCCTAAGTATTTTCGGGTATAATATTCTACCTGATATTCATAGGCAGAAGTTCGTCTGATTGGCTAATAAATTAAATTTAATTTTACATTTATTTATACAGTTTAGAGTACTTTTTTAAAAAAAACGAAAACCAACCATAATCAAGTAAAAAAACTATATGAAGGTTTCATTAAAGCTGTAGTACTCCATAGTCAAAATTAAATCTAATTCTCGTCCGTTTAAAAAAATTGGCTTAGTAATAAGTTGATTTTATCTGGTTTTGAGAAGCTATCATAATACTAACTTTTTTAAACGGACGAGAATTAGATCTTATTTTTGACTATGAAGTCCCACTGTATAAATAATGTAAAATTAAATTGAATTTATCGTACGGGTCTTATGTAACAACCTGTGCTTTTTTCGAAAGCTTATTCGCACAGGTATCAGGGACGTGTGGATTTTGTGATTTACTGCGATTTTAAGGAATATAAACTTATAGATTTTATAAACGTAAATTCCTTAGAAACACCTTAAATCGCAAGCTCCACACGTCCCTGACGGGTATATATGAAAATCACATGATTTTCATAAATACCTATGCAAATAAGTTATTTTTACAATAAGTTAAGCCAAAATTCATTTCGTACTAAGAACTATGTAACTATAGATATTATTTTAAAATTCTCATTTTGAGCATGTATTAGGTCGTAGTTGTTTAAAATTCTATAAGGACTAAAATTAGGTCAGGTAGTTTTAAAATTCTTATTTACTAACGAATACTAATATATTTATTAAATAAGGTTATTTTTTTAAAAAAATCTCATTGCCTACAAGACTAATATTATGTTAGGTAGTTTTTAAATTCTTATTTGCTTACGAAGACAAATTATGTCAGATAGTTTTTAAATTCTTATTTACTTGGTTTTTTAAAATTCTTATTTACTGGATGAAGATTAACATTAAATCGAACAGTTTTAAAATTCTTAGGCGAAGACTAATTTATATCTAGTGGTTTTTATTTGTTAAGTGAATGTTAATATTAGGTTGAGTAATTTTTCTAGTCCTTATTGGCTGGTCGAGGTAATATTAGGTCGAACAATTTTTTAAAATCTTATTTGTCAGATGAGGACTATTATGAATTCGAATGTAAACTATTGCTTTGTTGTTAATTTAAAAAAATATTATTTATTTCTAAATAAAAAATTCATTTACAATGCCTTCTGTTCTTTATTTATGATTTTGAAATGGTTCAATATTTACAACAATCAAGTGGTTTTTTTGCAACGAAAAACTAAGCTCAAGTTTATCAAAAGTTTTATGAACAAAGGGATAAGAAAAGGGAATTATAAATAAAATAAATTTAAATAAATAAATAGATTGTTTAAAAGAAGCGACGACGGGTTGTTACGTCAGACCCGTACGATAACTATAACAAATTGTATCAAGAATACTCTTAGCGTTAGTAATTTTAGGTTGGTGTAATTTTAGGCATGAAATTTCCAAGGCTTTGTTCTTTGCACTATTCATTGCTTATCATACAGTAATAACTGGTATTGAACAGGATAAAATCCGCGTCAAATCCGCGTAAAACTAGTTTTAATCATCATATTAGAATGAAAATTTACGTTAGCATGTTTTTTTATATCTTACGTGAATTTCACCTTTATATGATTTGAATAAGAGTACAATACCGATACTGGAAAAATTTTTTCATCTGAGAAATGTAACTCCATACAATCTTGGACAGACAATAACAGGAAATTTTTTCATCGGAGTAATGTCATTCCAATGCACTGCGTAGCAGACAGACATTAATTCCGATGAAAGTATTTTGGGTCCGGGTCAAAATCCCGACAAGTTGGCCTGCATTAACTGTATTTCTGTCGAATTTTATTTTTTTTTTCTGGATTCTGTTTGTCAGGATTTGACCCAGACTCAATATTAATCGTGATGTTATCCGAAATCTTATATGACCGTGAGAAGTTTTTTCCATGATTTTTGCAACAATGATTATGTAATATCACGGGGAAAAAATTACATAATCATATAACGATAAGATGTCGGATAACCTGTTGTATAATATTTATTTTAAGCAAAGAATTATATTTAACAAGATACATAATTTAATATTTAACAATTAAATAATAGACCAGCAACTATACAATTCCATGATCTTCCCTTCCACCCCCACCATTTCTTTCACTTTCGCTAGCATCTCCACTTCTATCACTTCTCACTCTTCCTGGACTAATATGTCCAGTCGGACTTACACTCACACTTCTATGGCCTCTTCCTTGTCCGTACCCAATCCTCCCTCCTTCATCTCTATCCCCCTCGTATCCAGCTTCTCCCAAATTTTCTCCATTTTTATTCTGATTTTTACTTTGACCACCCTTTGAAGATTCCTTCTCATCACCCCCTTTTTTCATGGATTTTTTCTTAGCAGCTAACTTAGCAGCAGCAATAGAAGCTTTTGATTCTTCCAAATGATCTTTAGCTAATCGTTCAACTTCACTCATCAATTCTCTCCAAGCATCTTCACCACCTTTTGGAGGTTCATATTGACGTTTAGATTGACGCCATTTTGCGATTCCCAAATACATCTTTCCTACTATTGCATGAAGAATTACCAATGATGATGTCACGAGGGTTAAAAAAGGGATGACACTATAACTTGCAGTATTTAACTTATACAGAACCTATAAATAGTATTTATTATGTTTATAAGTATAAAGATGAAACCCCAATTTTTTTTTAAAAAAAAAACTGGTTTACCAACCTGAATAATGAATTTTGGTATATCTTCAATAAAAAATCCCACCAAACTTCCTATAAATATCATGATACCAGCCCATTTGCTCCAAGGTGCTTGCAACGCCTTAATACCAGCAACTCTAGAATTCAATATACTTAAAACTTCAACATCAGCCAACCCTAATACTGTGAACATGGAAGCCACGGCAGTGTTACGTTTAAACCAATCAAAAAAATCAGGATTTGTAAATGATTCCCTTAGTACAATGTATATGGACCATAATTGATTGAAAGTAAAAGGAACAATTGAAAAAATTAACGAAGGAACAAATAAAAATGGAACATCCTTTGAATGAGAAATTAAGAATATTATGCCTAAAAAATGGAAAATGAAAAACATAATAATAATAAATAATGAAAATAAGAATCAATACAAAATCACTCGATAATATTAATATTTCAATTTACCAACAGAAAAATCAGCTAAGACCAATGCAAATTGTAGTACGGCAGTATTCCTAGCATCAGAATCCCTATACTCGGCCGCAACATACAATAATACTACCACAAGTACTATAACAGCAGCTACTATTAACACTACTTTATTTTCTGACCAAAAGTCTGCTTGTATTGGTGCACCGTATTTAGAATCCAATAATGATGTCATGGTTCCATTCCCTATATTCGTGTTTGGAGAATTTTTTATTAAGTCTTCGAGATCGGATGATAACCTTAAACTTGAGAGAGATGAATAATCTCCGGGTGAGATTTGCAAAGGTAATAAAATGTATTCATGATTGTCACCCTTATCGAAATACCATGCGTTGTATGGTGTCGAGAGATGTTCAATATTTACGGGAAGAAATCTTGAGATTTCGGCATGAACTTTTTGGATCGCATCGGTTGAGTTCGAGATAAAAAATTGAAGGGATTTTGGCCGGAAGCGAAGAAGTACGGTAATTGACCCTATTAAAAAATATATACATATACATATATATATACTATTTGGTTTTTTTGTTATAAATTATTATTAACAAAACATTAACTCACCAGAATACGACGAAGGTTGTTGATCTGAATTAATTATAAAAAAATAATTCATATTGTCATCAAATACATTAAATGCATATAACAAATTTAAAGCAGTATGCTCACCTGTAACAAAACTCCAAATATTAGGTTTAACTCCAGGCAAAGGTTCAGCTAAATCCGCTTTCAGTATCATTCCATCATCCACAGTAACATAGTATTCTGTTTCTGGACAATTTAAAGTGCTAGAAATCAAATTCATATATAAAGTAGTAGAAGAATTAGGATCACTAGATATCCTTATTGAATTGCTCATGATCTTCAATCTTGGAGTGTCATCATATCCTTTTTGATATATATTTATGCTACCATGATCGGATAGTATAATTAGTGTTCGGTACGTGAGTTTCAAAGTAAATGATATCGAGTCGAATGTTAGTGGGACATTTTTTTCATTTCTGGATGGATTTGATGAGAGGATGTTAAGATTTTGATATCCATTATCTGTATATTTAACAATTAGTATTGAATTTATTAACATTATTTACTGTAATTTTTACCATAAATCCTCGAAATAAAGGGCATAAAATCATACTCCATAAAAATGATATAGTTCGTTAGAAATAACATGCACTTTATAATAACTCTGCTCATATGTTTTTTAATAAAATGCTTGCACATAATAACCGTGAAGAATCTTCATGGTTATCATATATCAAACAATTTTTTTTAGTCAATCGTAAAGATTGACTAATATAATAAAAGAAACAAATCGCACATTATCATCGCAGAACTTTTCACTTATTATATCAATCATGAAGAATCTTCACGAATAGAAAAGTCAAACTGTTATTTCAAAATAACATCCGTGGGTGCAAATGGCTTGTAATTTCGCGAATTTATGGTATACAATATTTACTTGATAAAAATTACCATCTTCATAAAATTTAGGCAAAGCAACGGTATAAATAGAATAACCTCCCATGTATCTAGGATCCAACCATTTTGTTGGAATTCCTGTAAAAATCACGGTATTATTTGGAAAGATGCATGAGGCACCCGTATAAACTATATTCGATGTTTGTTCTTTCAATAATCCACCGGTATAGTTAAATAGATCCAATACACTGTTCGTACCAGTGAGATTTAAAATATTAAGCGGATTTTGTCGTAAACTGCTCTGAATTAAAAGAAATCCACCGTAACTTTGTAAAGAATATATATAATAAATATTCTGATGTTCTTGTAGAGTAGATGAATACTAAGTTACAAAATGTAATTACCGCAAAGGAACAGCAGCCAAATCCAGGAAATCCCCAAAAATAGCTCTATTATTAGTAATATTAGATCTAAGTGGCACGACATTATGAACCATCCCACTTGATAAGAACGTAACTTGGTAAGGCTGAATTCCATTAGCCGAATCATTCATCATTAATTGCAAGAAACAATTAAATCCTTGCCCGATACTTGATCCTGCACAAGCCAATATTTTAATTTCTGTAGCAGTAGTTCCTGAAAATATAACAAATGGTGATGTCTTGACTTCTGCGCTGTTCGGTTTAACGAATACAGCATATACTTGGCTTTGAGTTTGTGGCGGTGATGTCGGGTCAGTAAAATTTGAAGGTGTCGTGGTTACGGACCATGTTATCAGGAAACCACCATCCATTACAGCTTGAGCATTATAAGAACGTACACAACCTTCTTTTGTGCTGATATTATAAGTGTTATCGCCTATCAACGTTGTTGCATTATTGTATACTTTCCATTTTATCGTTTCGCAAGAATTTCCCATGTCATAATAATATATCTGTTAATATTTTAACCAATAAAATTTATATAACGATAAGTAAAACTCCATAATTATAAACCTATCATAAAACTAATCTTGTACTTAACATAAATACTCACATAAATAAAGTTATCACCATTAGATACCAACTGATGCGCCGTATTATTAACACCAAATCCTTCAATACTAGTAAATTGATTATTCTCCATCAACAACACATTTTTTAATAAGTTTCCTTTTTCGTCCGCGATCCCAGCCCAAGTATCTTTTTGAATCGGATTACTCGGATCAAGTATTTGCTTTGTTCCGTTCGCATAGGCGAATAGTACATTGGTATTGGATATAGGTGATAAAGTATTTGGTTGTATACCCATGGGAAGACCCCAATTGTCAAGTGGTATACTTACTTCTGTTCCATTAGAATATATGATTTTTTGTAAAAGATTTGTTGCACTGATTCCCTTCCTAACTATAAAGAGACGAAGTGAACCATCTTCAAAGGTGCTACAACCGGTTACATATGTTGACCCTATCGCGGCTTTATAACGTTTATCTAATGATTAGTGGTTTTTTTAACTATTATATCTAAAGAGTACATTTCGTCCATACCTTGACTACTACTAAAATCAAAGTAACTTTTCTCGGTAATAACTAGATTTGGTATATTTGTTTGTCCCCAACATTGATACGATTGTACAAATATCAATATTATTACGATCGTTATAAAGCTTAAGATAGATCGAACCATTTAAATCGGTTTGATTTTTGTCGCGTGATATATATTTACTTTCGTGTTGATTTTTATTTGATTAATAATGTTTCTGGTTTGTTTTAAAACTTGTTTATTAAGTACAATTAAAATTCGTGATGTAAAGATGCATTTAATATTTTTTCTTTTATCATAGTCATCATTATAATTATTATTTCATCAATGTTATTAATTTTACCAAAAACAAATCCTTAATTTCAAATATAAATATTTTATCGAAAAAGAATAAAACCGGTGAAGTAAATAGTTTTTTGTAACGATCTTTTATTTTATATTTTATATATATTCACATCTTTTGTAGTTCAAATTCCATCATTCACACCGCCACGCGGATCTTTCTTCCTTGTTTTGATAACCATGGATTCAACTTGTTACAATAATGGTGAATGTTCATGTAGAAACTAATTCAGGAGACTCTGTGTCCAAGTACATGCGTAATAAACAAAAACTAAGATGACGAGATACATACGCACAGCCATATAAAGAAGAAAGCCTCCATTTAAATGCGCCACTTTTTTATTTTTGGTATAGATTGAATGTATATTCGATATTGACTATCTGGTCGATCATTTTACTTTAAAAATGAAGCTCATTAAAAGTAAGATATACCTTATTTGTAATTACCATGATTGTGGAACTGTACTACTTACATTTCACATGAAGCCTAAAAATTTTAATATTACCTTTAAAAAACTTTTTATTTTATGAATGGTAGTAGATTAAGCCATATAAAGTAAATTTTTTTTTTTACATTAAACAGTCCGGTTGATCGATGTTTTATCCTACATACCCACTATGGTTTAAATTTTCATTTAAAATTTTTAAAAAAGTTTATATAGTCTTTGCTTTGAAAATCAAGGTTTTAATCTTATTATTGTTTAGCATAAGTGCTATAATTTGTAGGTATGCTATGCGATTGTTATACACAAAGCATCAATTTGTTCTTATAAAATTCATTTATTAATTAATTTGTTTATAGAATTCCAATCCGTTAAGCGTTCATCTAGATAATTATCAGATATCCGATCTGATTATTCGGATATCTGGTTTACTTTGCGGGATAGATTAGATTTCATAAATAGAAATCCCCCCTAACGTGACTTAATCCTAACTAATGATGCTGGTGAAATTAAATCAGAGTGGTGAAATGATTTCACCATTTCACCAATCACCAATAGGTATTGGTGTAACTGGTGTGAACGGTGAAATGGTGAAATAGTAATCATAAGGTCTGCTGTACCAAAGTAGAAATGAATAGGTATAGACGTATGAATGAAAATAAGAATATTAATAATCGTATAAATAGTTTTAGAGAATAAAAGTAGTCAAATATTAATCATTAATAAATAAACGTTTTACCATTTTATCAATTTCACCATTTCACCATTTTATCAACTTTACTATTTACTATTTTATTATTTTACCATTTTGCCAATTCACCAATTTACCAATCTCACCAATTCACTGTTTTTTACCAATTTCACTATTTCATCAAATTTTTATTTTTGTACAATTTTGATAAAACTATTTCATTATTTTACTTTGTGAAATAGTTTAATTTTATCAGCATCTATAATCCTAACCTTAAAAATTGTTTTCACCTGATCTTTTGATTTAATTGAATAAAAATCACAAGTAAGGGTTTGTGGTTATTAGTAGCAAACATAGCTAGTGAAAATAGCTAGTAAAATAGCAAAATTAGCAAGCTAAAATTTATGATAAATTTATATTTTAAAAAAACATTTATACTATTTTTGTTAAAGTTATATTAGTTAAAATATCTTTTCAATATTTTTTCAGTAAAAGTTCTTTATATATAATTTGAAAATAAATGTTCTACACCTATACTTAAAAGAGGAATCTAAATAAAAACTTTAATTAATTTAATATTAATTTCTTTTTTATCAGTTACTTAAGTTTGAAAATATAGTTATTTATCTTTTATACTTATTATTTTTTAAATATAAATCTACATTATGTTATTTATAATGATTAACAAAACATTTGCAAAAAGTACAATAAAATTTTCCTTCTTTTTATTAAAGTTATTTTTTGAACTGTGAATATTTGTTTAAAAGCATTAGAAATAATTAATTTTATTAATAAGTTCTCAATACTAATATATACTATATTTAATAATTTTTTAAGAGTAGTGGATACTATTTTAAAATTATATTTAAACTTGATGATAATTTAAATTATAAAACTTTTTATTAATTAAATCTATTTTAAACTTCTAAGCAAATTAATAAAGTAGGTTTTTGTAACTTTAACAGTAATAATTTTTGTTTGTTTCTTATTTTTGTGCAATTATACTATAAAGAATGATATATAGATATGTTTTTTTTACTTTTAAGCATTACACAGTCTTTCTGAATATCAGTTAGCTATTTAATTCCTCTTTTAATCTTAATATTAGCAGTTGTTCTGACTGGTCAAGCATTTACTATAACTGTTAGTCAAACAGGTCACAAATTTAAAATTTTTTATTCAAAACTTACTCATTATATTAACCCTTCTTAGCTATTATCTTAGCAGATCAGACTACTACAACTTTATAATTTTTTGGATGAGGTGAGTAGGATTGAATTAACTAGAATAAAATTAGATTAGATAAAAAAATAAAATTACTAACTTTTACTTTTTCTAACTATACTAATATATTACTTTTAAATTACCTTACAGTTTTTTAATTATCTTATATTTACTCTATTATCTTATATTTATTTAGTTATCTTATTCTTATTTAATTACTTTATACTTACTCAATTAACTTATTCTAACTACAACTAAATTCATGAATTAAAACTCTAATTATGAATATATTACTAATTACTTAAATTATTATATACTTTCATTTGATTAATTAACAATCAATTAAATATGTACTATAATAGGCCTATCATATATTTAATTATTATGCATAATTCGAGACAAAAGCTGTTTGGATACTTATATATCAAGCAATTATTTTGTTTGTTTCTTATTTTTATGCAATTATATTATGAAAAACAATATACAGGTTCTTTCAGAATATCATAAAATAGAATAATTAAAACTTAATCAATTGCATTATATTTGCACTATCTAAAACCTTTATAATACCAAACACAATACTAATTATTCTTTATCTTAAAATCACATTAATGCAGATGCACTTAACTCTGATATTTCTACTAACCTTATATATAATCATACAGCATTCAAAACCCAACTACCAATTATTTGAATTTGTTTTAATAATATTCTATCTTTTATAATTATTATGGTATTACTTATCCTTAAACTATATGCTATAAACCTTCTTTTTATATTAACATGCTCAGCAAAATGTTTAACTACTGCAATAATTATTGAAACTATCATTTTATTTCTTTTATTTAAAAGGAAAAATGATACTTTATTTCTATTTTAGAACTAACTTTTAAATATTCTACTATTTTTCTAATTAGACAATATTTATTATCAGACTCTTTAATTAGTTTTTTCTTTTTTTAAATATTAACAGTGAGGCCATGCCTTTAACTTTATTAAAATTCAATTGAAGTTTTTATAAAGAAAAGCTTACTTTTAAATTATATATGAAGAATAAAGACTCAGACATATAATCTGTGATCAAACCTACAAAAATAGCTAAAGCTCATCTAGATTTGGGTGTTAGTAATAATATATAAGAGAGAAGTATGATATTTAATCCATTGGATAGTCCAAAGATTAATTTTATTAATAATTTGTGATATTGAAATAGGAGGTAATGATAGACTAGAAAGAGAATTATGAATTAAGTTTGTAGAAGATGTAGTTGAAGACTGTGCTAAACATGAAATACAATATAGAATCCATAATTATTTATATATTTGTTGGTTTAAATGAAGAAGAAATTTAATAGAAAGAGAAGTAGTTATATAGTAAGAAATAGAAGTATTATAAATAGTAGAAACAAGATTAGTAGAAACTAAGCCAAATAAAGTAGAAATAAGAAATGGTAAATAAGAAAATTGTATAGTTTAAAACTGTTAAATGTAAGAATTTCTTGATGTAAATTAGAAACAGAATTAGCAGGCATATTGAAAGTAATATTATGAAAGATGCAGTTAAGAGAATTAGAGATTAAATAATAAATTGTTTGAATAAAGGAACAAAGAGTTCAGTGTAGTGAAGAACTAGTTTGATTGCATTAGTGGCAGAGAGAGAAATAAGAAGAGTTATGTTTATAAAGAGTATGAGAAACAGGTAGTTCATTCAAGAGAATTTTAACATAAAAGGTTTTTAGAATAGAGGAATAAAAACTATAAGCAAAGTTAAAGACTTTTTAATTATTATTAATGTAAAACCAAGTGGTTTCTCAGTTAATATTAGATACAATAGTAGACCATTGTTGAAAATGATGTTAAGATATTCAAAGTGTTATAATATAAGCATAACAAATAGTACAGATAAAGTGTTGAATAGAAATTTCAATAAGAAATTCATCAATAAATGAAATATATACAAAGTTATAAGGGTTGTTATTTAGAAATGTTAAGAAAGGTAGTATTTGATAACTATAAGCAAACTGGTCAGCAAGATTATTAAATAGGTCATCTTGGTATACAGTTCTTTATGAAAAATGAGCTGAATATTGTATGAATTTATGAAGTTGATAAGAGTTTGCCAAATAGAGAAGTATAGAATATGAGTATGAGAAAGTTTAGAAGCTGATGAGCAGATATTGTGATATTTGAAGATTACAGATTGTGAGTCAGTAAGATATAAACAGAACAGTTTCTAAGAGCAGTAATAATTGTTAAAAAAATAGCAAGAATTTCAGTTTTAAAAGAATATAGTCAAAGTTTAACTTGTGTCTAAAATGAATAAGTAGTTGTAGAGTTATCAACTTGGACCCAGTCTATGCCTATGGAACATTAAGAAGTATCCAGCTCAATAACAAAGCCATCACTATAAAATAAAATAGTAGTTAGGTTATAATTAAAATTAGC